TAAAATTTAGTTTACAGTTAAACAAGTTATTAGAAGTTAATGGTCCTTAGACCAGTAATACATTTTTTCCTCCCTTTCTTATGGTTATTTATCTTCTGGTCCCCACTATTTTATATGTTGAAATAGAAAGGGCATTTTATTTCAGTTTTTTTGGAAAAAAAAAATTATAGTATTATGATTTGTGTCTTGGCTGACGACAATAAACGGACCTTTGACTCTTTGAAAATTGTTCTTGTGGACCTTTCAGATTTGTATTTGAGGACCACTGCTTTAAACCATAATGTCAACTCCATGGTGGAATCTTCATTTTTTTTAAAGCTGGCTGTGTCTCAAACAGCACGTGACCTCTTTGTTTGGGTTGAAGGATTTTCGGAGCCTGTCTCCAGGAAAGAATAACAACCTTTTTACTGGGAGTGTGGTTAATTCCCAGTGTTCCAAATAATTGCTTCTGGTCAAGCTTTAACAGGCTGTTAGAGCGCACCTGCCCTCCAACCCCTGTTTATTGAACCTGTGAACCATTTCCCTTGTTAATCTGGCTCCTATTAATGTGGAGACAGTTGAGAAAAAACGCAGTTTATAAAGTGTGGTGGTGTGGCAATGTGGATGGGGAGGGGGCAGACTGCACTCTGCGGATGAGTCAACATGATGCGGTGGGAAGCATTTCTTGTAACACCAGATTGAGGATCAAAGTGGATTTCAGTTAAGAAAACAGTTAAGCCACATTTATTAGCTGCTCTGAGCCTTTCTTCATCAGTAAATGGACTTTGAACTGAGACTGTTTTGTCCAGTTGGATTTTTTTTGTGAGCAGACTATCGTTATGGTAACACAAGGGAACTAGAGGGTCATTACACACTGAGGGCTAAGCAGATTCTTGAGGCTGACGTCGACATGAATGTTTAAAAGTCAATTGTAATACCTCAACACAATTGTTTCTGATCATCATCACCTCATCCCTATCGCTTTATTGAGTAGGACACCTTAAAATTGATTCTTAAAGAACTGTGACCTAGATATGTGAGCAGGATATTTTACATGGAAAAAACACATTTGTGAGTGCTCTCTGGTGGGCACATTGTTGTTCTGAAGGAGCAAATGTTCTGAAATTCTCTTGTGGCTAATTAAGCAACATATACAAATATATAGAAAATGGTAGCTGATCACTGTGATTTATATAAGGGCTGTACATGGAATTCTGACATCCGTTAAAAAATGTGAAATAGGAATATTAATCATTAGGCCTTGCCTGGTCATAAAATGCCCAATCAAATGATAATCATGCTAATCTGGTGATACCCTTGTTTGCCCTATCAGGAAACAAAACAACAGTGGATGGCAGTAAGGTTGTTTGTACAGGGTTAATAACTGTAATATTTTCAAAATATATGTTATTTATTAATGCGGGACTCTTTTTTTCAAATTTTGTATTGTGTTTGTTTTGAAAAAAAGTTCCAAATGTCTGACTTGGTGCCACTAATGAGATCTTTTAGAATGACCTAGAACAAAAGTTCAAAAACATTAAGAAGACTGCTGGGGTGGGTATAACAACTGCCTCAGCTTAGTGTCCTAAGAATGCTTGGCTGTCAACTGTTCCCTCGACCGTCTTCTTACCAAATGCAATCACAATGTGTGAATCGTACCTGCGCTGGTCTCACATGGTCCCTTTTGGGTCTGCGTGATGCCTGGCAGTCCCTGCTGCAGAGCCTTCCTGCTGGTCGCCTTCAGCTGGCACACGTTACCGTACGTCTTCCCGTCGCTGCCGCACACTTCGCTGCTGAATCTGCACTGACAGAAGCCCTTGGAGAGCCGCTTGCCCGCCGGGTGTTTGCACTCCAGTCCGTCACCGCACGGCAGGTCGTCCTTACGGCCGCATGGCTCTCCTTCTCCCTGAGCGCAAACCAGGCAGCAGTTGCAGTGGTCTGGCACGTAGCCACTGGGGCAACTGGGGCTCGGACAAGTACTCACATCGCACCGTGTTGGGCACTTGGCTTTCGGCTCTGTACTGGCATATTCACTGAGATAAAGGAACACGGCACTGAACAACACGATCTGCATTTTTGATAGAGGATTTGGATACAAACTACGGAGAAAAGTTTACGCGACGACCATGTTCCTTGGTTCCGCACGACTCATCACTTTCTGCAGACTTTACAGATGGATATCCGCATTCACAAAGGATAGTAGAATAAGTGTCCTTCTGGTATTGCAAAACACATGAGAATATATCGATCCTGCCTGGACGGTTTACCTTTCACTGTCTAGTCGTACGTAATTGTGCACAAGCCAGCTGACCGGACTGAGTTAGCATCCACTCTGCTGCCGGTCGGATAGAGGGAGGAGATGCAGCAGCAGCTGCTCGTATGGAGGCGTGACAACAGAGCTCGGAGTCAGATGTTGGAAACATCACTGTTGTCGTATGACCTCAGAATCAGACTTAAAGCCACATTCTTCCTCGTAATCTGCCAGATCTAGACCGAATGTCTCGTGTTTGTACACTTCAAAAGGGCGCTGGAGCCTGTTCGTTTATTTGAAAATGTACATTTGCTCTTACACAGTTCACACCTCTCCTCTGCATGACAACAAGCTGCCCAGCTGGTGCACAGAGAAGTAAGAGGACCTGGTGAGCTGAGGCTGTCCTCATATATAGGTCACAGCACTGAAAATAAAGAAATGACAGGTTAGAAGTCTACACCACAAAAAGCGGGGTAAGAACCACTGGTAACAAACACATCAGTGGTGATTTAATGGTCCCATCACACATAAAAACAGAGACTATGTCCTGAGAATGTATTATTGGCACTGGTTTGTGTGCTTTTACTGTCGGAAGAAGAAAAGAGAACAACGCTAAAGGGATGAAACCCAGCTTTACCAGACTGAACACCAGTCAGACAGCACTCAGTCACATCTGAGTTAGCTCAAGGCTCATTTAAAACCACTGGAGTCCCACATACAGCTGTCAAACAGAATTTGAAGTGTCTGCAGGTAGGAAGCAGGTGGGGAATCATGAGATTTGCCACTATGTTATAACATCTTATGCTTGCAGTATGATTATTAAGAGCACATATTGCCTTATATATCATACAGTAAAATATAATTAAACCACATAACAAGACAGACAACACAGTTTGTAGTGAGACAGAACACTGCGCAGGCCAATGTGAATGTACCTCGAGCTGTGATGAGGACAAGATAGTCCATGGAAGAAAAAAAAGAGTTGAAACGAAACTGTATTGAACTGAAAAGAGACTTTTCATCATACCAACATCAACATGACAAAGATCGGGGCAGCAAGTCCTGTCATGTTGACATAATTGCATTCACAGTCTAAATAGTGACAATTTGTTGTGGTTATATTGAGAAAGAGAGAGAAAAATAGGTCACACACAAATCTAAGTAGCCACGTGGAAGTCACCAAATCATGTGTTTGTACAGTCAGAAGTTCTAAAAACATTTTCAAATATGAATAACTGATAAAACAGCATTAGTACTTTCAAGTGCAGGTCACTACAGAATCTCACATATGAATTCTAGATACATTTATAATATTGGGCAATATGTGAGCAACCTTTTAAACACTATACCAGCACCTACACTAACAGGAATGTTCCATGGACTGCTTCATGACTGATTGATTTCACAAAATATATGTGTTGACATTTTGATGGATTTCTTTAATCCACATTCATGTACCTCCTTATAAGTTCACCCTCACTGTCCAAAAATAATAAATATTCCTTAACATTCATCTTTTTATGCCATTTTTTCCAGAGATTTTTTAACAGTACTGTATACATACATTTATGACACATTGTGTTTGTAGCTGTCTTTAGCTCACTATGTTATAAAGCTTCTCTGATGTTTGATGACAAGTGCAACAGCAGCTTATAATACTGGATATTTGTTAATTTTTCTACAGCCCTTAGAGCTCTGCCTAAAAATATCCCAGGTTGCTATTCTAACGCAGCTCCATGTGCTCTCTGCTGTTTCTTCCCAAAACATGAAGTCATTCGTTCTCTTCTACAGAGTGGGGATATGAGAACATGTTGTTTTTAATGTCCTCTTGTAAAGACAATTTAAGACTCACACACTTACACCTAAATCTTGCTAGTGATGTGAGGACCTCCACTCATTACACCATCTGAACTACCCTGTCAAGTTTTTGGTCCTGATTGTTAGTTTAGCTTTACGGCCCTTGACGTGACGTGCATGATCAGAAAATGGAAAGTTGCCATTGAAAGTTCATTGTGATTTGTATTTTTTATTATGTTAGTATCTCAAGATCAAGTCATTTCTTTGTATTTTCTTCATAAACCATAACTCTGTAGACTGTTCTCCCATCATAACAATGTGGTTATCTTGATATCCTGACATTTCAAATCATCTTGTTCTGGTCATGATTCAATATCTCGTCACTGAGAAGATAAATATGGGAGTTCATTGTGTATACACAGCGAATAGCATATACAGAATCAGTGCTATACAAATATTGTAAACACACAGGGTCTGATTCACCAGATAATTCCAATAAGTCTCATCCACTTCACTATTTCTTGTTTTAATTAGTGAAATCAAAAATTTTGTGCACAATTTTTTCTACATTAAAAGCCCTCCACACAAGTGAGGGCTGAAAGACTCAATTATTCACTACTCCCTGTATAATAGACGCTTTGTAGTTTTATTGGGAGCAGTAATTGAGGCTTATCACAATCATTCCCTAGTATGTGTATCTATAGTTGGTTAGCTAAGCTTTTTCATTGAGGAATTTTTATCAAGCTCAAGACCCCTTTGCAAGAGAGACCTAAGAAAAAAAAAAGACATTTAAACAAGGTCACTAGAGTGAAAATCATTCACTATGAACAACCATCACACACACACAACAACATAACATCCCTGTCACGGCCTTTCCTGAGCCTAGTTCTTTTTGGTTCTGTCCCACTATTGCCGACCGCCCCCTCAGAGGGATGCCAAAGGCAAGTTTGGATTGTTGGATTCTCTGTTCAAAATTTGTGAGGTCTTCACCTTACTATGTTATGGGCTGTGAGATGACATAGGCTGTTAATTGCACTACAAAAATAATATTGAATTGAACTGAATAATAGGTTTGACTTTAAGCTATGTTGTAACTCATTGTAGTAAGGTTCATAATACTATACTATGTCCCAATTTCAGGGATCTTATGAAAAATTTTCAAAGCCATTGTCTCATGTGATCTGGTGTTGTGCTCATTAGCAATGGGCTCAGCTGAGGATTTTATGCTGATGCCATCTCAGTGATGACCAGCCAACGTCAAATACAGTAATCATCCACCTGTCTAATATTTAGGCCATATCTTTTCTACTCATGTTTGTCTTATAGTATTTCTGCTTCTTACATTTCTAAGTCTTTGAGTGAGAGCAACTGTAAGCAACTCCCCCTTGGGGATCAATAATGTTTTTCTGAGTCTGATTCTGAATTTCATGTAGGTTCCGTCGCACTGGCAAAACAAGTCTTGCCTGTTGTGGCATGGACACAGGACCTCTGTGGTATTAGGTTACTGGGATGCTAGATGAAAGCTCGATTAGATTGAGATCTGGGAATTCTCCAGTATTATTAGAATGTGAACTGTAATTAAATCCCTATTAAGAGTATGGAAAGGACTGGAAGCTTCCCTCATATGCCGAGTTTCAGCATCAATGTTATTTATATACAGACTAAGCATTGCATTATGAGATTGTTGAAGAAAGTAATGTACATGGGACACTCTTTATTTCATTTTATTGTGGAAATCCAAGAGCAATATATAGTACATAGCTTTACAGTTTTCAAATAAAAACACTTAGATAGAATGGCAGCATCTGGTAGCAAATACAGCACAGCAACAAGAAGTTGGTTTTTACAATTTGGTTTTCATATGGCAAGTTAGCTGTTTGTCCTTAATTCCAATGTTTATGCTGAGCTAAGCATAAAGTGCAACACAGAAATGCACTTTAGTCATTGTTATTTGTGTGAGCTTCACTGTGCAGAACAATGAATGTACAGAGTTTAACTTTCCAAAGACTATTTTCAGATTCTTTCTGCCCAAGGTTGAGCGTTTCTCTGAGATCACCCAAAATTTGAGTTTAAGGGTCCTTCCATCTCGAATCATCAAATTTTCCAAACAATTCACTCCACAATCTCTGATTTGCCTGAATTGTTTTCATTGTAAAACTATGGATATTTAAAATGGCATCTGTGAAATTATTGCTTGATATATCAAATACTTTGTGGCATAAACAGTTTTAAAAGACTGGCAACTTTCAGCATGTTTTTTTGTGCATTAACATTTGAAGCTGTGTAGTATTTCAGTAACTATTAAAGATATTTATTGGTGTGACACTGATTCAGAATCTGCAATATTGGACAAGTAGATCCAATAATCTCTGATTATGGGTGAGTTGACACATGAGAAAAGGGAACCATTATAAAAAGTCCTGTCATCGAGCAGACATTTACAAAAAAAAATAAATAAAAGATGATATAGAAGTCAACTAGTGATATTTTCTTAACCATATACAGTTGCATATTAGATAATATAAAACAAAACATATAAAATACTTCTAAATATGAAATACTTGGACATAAAAATGAAAAATCACAACTGATTCAGCAGGTATGACAAGTTTTACTACAAAAACAGAAATATTGCTTGACAGCCTGATCTAAGTACAACAGCGTTGGGGAGTTTCAAAGTGGTTGTCCAAATAATGACCAAGAACATTTTTGTTTTTAATATGGGCATTTTTTTTTGGACACCACTTTGTAGGCTAGAGAAACAGAAAAAAACTACCACTTACTGAACTCATGTATTTGAAAAAATGTGGGTCAACTTGAAGTTTAAAAAAATATACATCTCAGAAAGTATTTTAAATATTCATAGTTTAAAAAGTTTCAAGCAAATCAGAAATGGTCTAGCACAAGGTCCCTAATAATTTGAGGTGGGATGACTCTGAGGTTTTCTTCCTGCAGTGGGATTTGTGGCATTAGTTAGGAACCCAATCCTAGTTCAATAGGCAACTGAAGCCACTGTAATGCAAAAATTCACACACTGACATGTCTGCACGGAATCTTTAACAGGCAGATATGCGAGTGATGAAACTTTTTTTTATTAGGTTAAAATGTTTTCAGCTTAGACTTTGAGAGTTTTAGAGGTTTTTTTTGTCCTTAAAAACTTTTAATAAATTATTGCTCATTTGTGTTGCACCGAAGTAGTTTTTAAAAAAAAATTTTTTTACTGTAGTCCATCTACACATTTAACAAAACAAAATTATAGATGAGATAAAATATGCTTAAATTCAACTTCAAAATCATACAATTAATATTGTGCTCATACAGTTTTGAAAAAAATTTACATTTAGCAATATTTCACAAGGGTGTAATTACTTTTTTGTTTATTATTTTAGTTTTAGATTGTTTTCTTTTATCCTATTTAATTTGTTGTTTAATATGATGGATCTTTTTTTAATGGTGATTTTCTTAGCAAAGTGCTTTATGAGTAAAGTTTATGTTTTATTATTATAGACAGTAGGAATGATGATCAGAACTACAAAAGCAAGACTCCAAATGACCCCCTCTACAAAATTACCTCACTTTGCAAAAATGTTTTTTTTTTCTCCTCATAAGCTGGTTCTCACATGAACAGGAGCACACTGAACCCTCCCATCCGACAGAGACACACGCACACACTTCACAGATGTGAGACTGCTTTTAATTCTTGTTTTGTCTGACAGGCTGTGGTCACAGAGGGGAAGCTGGCCGCAGACTGCTCATGTCCACCAATTGACGGTCGAGGTTTGTTTGGATAGACAAGAGGGGTGACAACCGAGACATATGTATCTCACCCAGCTGTGGGTGTGTTTATTTGAGGAAGTCCGTCACTTGAGGAGACACAAGGCTCTTTGTTCAGCAGGAAAAACAGTGTTTCTGAAAGTTATAGAGGGATGCAGACAGCGTTCAGTAACATTGTTTATTTTCCTGTGTCTTTACCAAACATTTGACACATTATGACTCATTAATTACACACTTCTCAAGTTTAAATGCAAGTAGATTCAGGATTTTTTTTGTTCCTCTGTGTATATTTCCTGTGAGATGGTAAATTATACAGATTTTAAGCTTTGCATGGTTCTGTAGTATGACATATATAACCTGGACTAGCCACCTTGTGGTGATAATACAAATAAGGCACAAGTACAAAAGTCCTTCACTTGGCTCCACCCTGTGGTAGCATCAAAAATAAAAGTGTAGCCAATTCTACTAATACCTTCGGCATTTGAATAATCGAAACATGACAAATAAATTAAAATTATTTCACTGGTTGTTCAGACTGTAAGGAAATTTTGTATTAGAAAGGGTTTGGTCTTGTCAGTGAGATTAATATCTGATCCAGGATGATGACAGCCAAGATGGTGGGATCAAAAACAACTCCATCAGTTTGAAGGCCTTTCAAATGCCAAAACACTGCACAGAGGTCAATATTATGATTCCTTATAAGGACAAGTTATCGTGCTGGCAGTAATTTTATCCTCCAATTTGATTCAAAAAATGTATAGGTAAGTTATTCTCTTTACAAAGTCATCCACAAGGAATGTGTCATTGCATGTGTGTGATTGCTGGATCCTTTCTGTTGCAGAAAAGGTTGAATAGGTTCAGCCTTTTTATTTTTTTTTTTTTAATGTCAGAGCTCTGGCACATGTTTTTAAGAAGCACACACTGAATTATTGAATGAATACACAGACACCACATTACGTTTGCATTGCTGGAAAACTGTCAAAATCAAGAATGAGTTCTGTTACCAATCCAGATAAAGTTATTCACCAAAAATCGTGAAGTAGGAGTCGAAAAGGACAAAATGTAGATGGGATCATAGATGTGGAGATAAGGACAAGCTGGAGGAGAGAGAATTTCATGTCAATGACCTGTTGGTCTGACCTGAAAGCTGATGAAGTGGCTTATAAGGGATTAGCACTCTCTTACTAACGCACAAAATGTTGCAGAATTCTCATCTTTTTAGTCAGTTTCGCCTCATTTCCTCTGGTGCTCTCACTCAGTAGTGGCGAGCACCTGCCAACAGCAGTCTATGGTATGACATATATAATTGTACAAAATACAGTCTTGTCTCTTTCTGTTTCAGTTGCCAGTTCACCAATTCTTTCATGCTCAATGTTTCTGGGTTATCACAACCTGGCTCACGGTTCAGAAAACTACTATTGACCGTGTTAGCATGATAACAGTATGTGAGCTTGCAAAGTGTTCCTTGAGAGTCTGCTAACAAAAATTGTTCAAAGTGCCACAGTGACGCCTGCTGGTAGCAACAGGTTGCTGAAACTGCACTGCATACAACAGAAGCTTGCTGAGGTGTTGTTGAAGCCTGGGTTATGTTGATAGCTTGTCTGTATTTTTGGGTCAGGTGTTTTTCACCTTGCTCTTGACAATGCCCCATATGGTTTTCAGGTTCAGGCTGGCCAATCAAGCACAGTAGTATCATGTTCAGCAAACTATTTGGTAGTTTTGGCACTATTGGCAGGTGCAAAGTACTGCTAAAAAGGAAATCAGCATCTCCTTGAAGCTTGTCAGCAGATGGAAGCATGAAGTTCTCTAAAATCTCCTGGCAGTGCTGTCATATTGCAGTTTAGCACCAAAGAGTAAGCAAGGTTTTTTTTTTTTTTTTGAATGCTGTCTATAGAGGTTGATGGCATGCTTTACTGTGTATGTGGGGGTTTCCCCCTGGATTCAACGTATTCTGAAATCAGTCTACTTTGAATGGTCTTACATGGGTCTTAGTATGAAAGGCGGTTAATGCTAATTACACATGAATCACACTCGGAACAACTCACTACAGTACTGATCCACACCTCTAAATGACTTTTTCTCCATAGTAAAAGTAACAGAAGCTTATGGTAATTTCTGTATTGACCCATCTATGGATGTGATGGGCAACACCTAGTTTTTTAAAGACAAGGCTGAAATTATTAAAACTGTTGGTCATGACATAAACCTTTATGATCATCTATGTAAACAAATCGCCTTTATGTTGACACTGGGGATTGAGTTCAAAGAAAAATTTGAAATGTATTCTAGTTGATTGATTCTAGTTTAGGACGCTTATGCTTTTATTGTGGAATAATGAGGCCATCATTGGACACAAATAACATATCTTAAATTTTGAAACTTGTGCTCAGAGTTCTATAATGCAGTAAACATTATCATTATCTGCATGAAATGCCTTTAAAAACGGGTCTTCTTTCTTTGTAGAGTAATCTTTTTTATAAAGTTTTTGCAAGATGATTTTTGGTACCAAAAAACAGCATCTATTCACCCATCTGTGGAGAATTGTGCTCTTCATACAAGGTCTCTCCTATTGTCCTGTAGACTTGCACTGTGATGTGCTGCTGTAATGCTGATCTGGTGATATATTAATCCTCCTCACATTGAGCTCTGCTGCATATCCTCTTGCCTTCTGGTAAAAGAAGAGTGAAAGCTCCCGATCTATTAGGAAGTTGTGGTAGATGGTGGCAAGGCGGGTGCACAGCTGCAGCTGAAACCTCTTGTTGCCTAGATCCATGGCCGCAGCTAGAGCCAGGTGGTAGTATCCAGCAGCATCAAAAGGGTCCTGCAGAGGTAGAAGCAAAAAAAGGATCGGTGTGTAAGATTTAGCGGAATCTGGTGGTGAGATAGCAGATTACAGTTGCCAAAATCACCCGTCTCCTAAGTGTGCTGTAGAACCTAAGGTGGCCATGTATAAGGCCCTCTCTCGAGCCACTGCTTGGTTTGTCCATTCTGGTCTATTGTGTAAACTACAAAGGCTGCACAACATAGTGGGCTTCATGGAAGAGGACTTGCCCCTCTGCAGATATGAGCGGTTCATTATAAGCTAATGAAAACATGAAAAAGAAACATAATCATGGCTGTTATTTATCATTTGTGACCCATCTGCATGAGATCAATCACATTACACCTTGGGCTATATCTGACATACAATCTGAATTACGTTAACACATGATAAAATATTGATTCTGGGTTTCTTACTTCAATCGGTCCATTTAGTTGTTTTCTACATGTATGTAACATATAATAACACAATTTTCCATTTCGCTGTCAAATACCGTCAGCATGCATGAGCGGTAACACCAGAAAGAAAGTTCGGAAATCACTTGTACGCAGGCGCCGCAAGCAATGTGTCATTGCCAGCCAATCCTGTCCCGTGATTTGTGTCACATGGTAGCAACATGCTGCTTTTGTTTACGCATAATAGCGCAATGCGACTGATTCACTGGTCACATTTCTGCTGTTGATTCATTTATATCCTACATAAAATATTTTATGCCACAGTATAGGTTATTATATTTAATGCAATGAATGAATCTGTAAGTGACTGCCAGATTGACATGGTTTTAGGGATTTGAAATATAGAAAAAAAAATCCCATCCCTTACCTTCAGATCATAGAATAGGATGTCTCCAAGTGTCTGGTACACCCTGACATAGTACAGCGTTTCCTCATCAAACTGCAGAGGGGTTGGACAGAGGGTCAAGGTCTTCAGGTAATAGTGCTCAGCCAGTTCATGCTGTTCCAAAAAGTGGTACAGGGAGGCCAGACGGTGGTAGGCCACTCGTTCATTCAGACGCTCGCCTGTATGCACAACCAAACACAAAGGTAAAAGGCTTTTCAACTATTGCATGTGACTTCAAAAGTTATTGAAAAGTTTGAATTTCAGTACAATCTTAAATCGTGGCAGTATTGGCAGTGTTGGGAATATAGTTTAGCACTTGTTTTAGTGTGTTGCAGATAGTGGTTAACATGTTAACCACTTTGGTTTGCAACAACAACTATTATATTTCACCCTACAGATGTTTCATCATGATGTTTATGGCTCCATGAGGAAGATTTCTAATGTTTGTAGTTACTCTGTGACTGTACTTACACGAGCCCAATCAAGACAAATTTTAAGAGACTATTTCTTTATTATTTATTTCTTTAGCTGAACACATTTAGAGGATGAACCTAATCTGTTTTTTTGCATTGCCATTGAAACATATGAGCACATTTGTGATCCCACAAGGCTGATCGCTTTAGACTCTTTTAGAGCCAACAGCAGGACAAACTTGACTGAACTTGTTGTAAACTGTTTTACAAGAATTTAAGTTTTAACTTTGTGGGTATTTTTAGAACTGCCATACCATTTGAAAGATATGATTGAAGTTGAAACTATAACACTACAGCCTTTTGAAGAAAGTCGGGGAATCAGAGCTCACAGGCAATAGTTGGAGTGCAGATAGGATTCTGGAGATCTCACAGAACCCCTGACTGCAGTTGTGAACAAAAGTTTACATACACTTATGAAGACAATAATAATAATATATAATATTAACAATAATAATAATCACCTTAAAAAACAAATCCGACTGACTGAATGATTATTATTGTTGTACATATAAAATTAAATTTTAAAAAAGTGAGCTTTTTACAAGATTGAATTTCCCTTCTGGGATAAATAAAGTATTTTTCATTTCATTCATTTCATTTCATAATGCATATCATGGCAGTGTTAAGTTTCCAGTGACTCCTATAACTGTAAATTTTGATGATGGAATTATTGAAACACGTGCATCTTTGCCACATTTGGGTTCTTTCATAGATTTATTATATGTCTTCTGGGAAATGACAAAATCTGCTGGGTTCAAAATATACATACATTGTTGCTAATATTTGTTTAAATGTCTCTTGGCCATTTTTACCTCAACTTGGTGCTTTTGGTAGACGTCCACAAGCGTCTGAAAAGCTTCTGGTTGTGTCGTTGACCACTGCTCTTGACAAAATTGGTGCAGTTCAACTTAATTTGTTGGCTTTCTGGCACCAACTTGTGTTTTCAGCACAGTTGACTGGTTCTTGATGGGGTTTTAGTCAGGACTTTGGAAAATCTAAACTTTAGTAAACTTTTGTTCACAACACAGTTTCTGAAATCCCTCCTGATTTACTATATAGTGCTTTCTATTTACTTTAGGGCACTTATTTGACCGTCGGAATTCTCAGTGTATAGAGCTGTCAACTATATAGTTCCATCACAATTTCTCCAATGGATAAAGTAGTCCCACAGCATCTACTACTTTTTCCTGACAGTCCTACAGTGTTATACTATAGACGTGAAAATTACCATTGTGTTACTGACAGAGATGATGATGTGTTTGCAAACCCTGATTACATTTATTATTACACTCATAATCTGACTGGTTACTGACTGTCTTCACTGCAGTAAAGTTTTTTTGTTTTTTTTTGTTTTTTTTTTACAGACATTTCAGTTTGTAATAGATGTGAAATTGTATGATAAAGTGAATGGGAAAGGTGTTTGGTGTTTTGACATGTGACTGATGTTTTGTTCTCCTTGATGTATGTTTGGACCAAGATTGCTGCTGATATATGGTAAAAAGCCTTACACAAATCACTACTCACAACTCCATGTGTCGATACGGTAATGCGACTGCATGCATTTTGGAGTTGTGCTGTATTAAAAGCAAATGTTATAAGATTTGACCTAGCAAGATTGCTGTTGCGGTCTTTACATGAAACTGAGCAGGGGGCACATTCAGACAGGAAGCTGACATGTTCAGTAGCTGTCACGTTACTGGAAATGTTAAAAATGAAATTAAAAGTTCATATCTGTAACCCCTTACAGATATGAACTTTTAATTTCATTTAAGTGTTGTGGGTTCATTCATCTTTATTCTGCTTTGCTGGCAGTACGACTATAGTCAGAATACAACTTCTTTCTGCAGGTTCACATAAAAGCTGACTGAATGACAGACAGTAAAGGTAATAAGAAAACCTAAACACAAATAAAAGAGTTTGTGTGATTTCAGAGGGATTTATGTATGTGTGCTTTACCAAATTAAGTGTCCAAAATATTTAAAAAATAGCACGGTGAGTAGCTGACTTGATCAGATCAGGCAAGTTGTAGACACACTTATTCTGAGACATACTTATTCTTGACACAAGACTGCTCTGCTTCTACCAAATTGCTACAGCTAAGGTATTAACTTCAGTTCCCCCTAGGAAATCACTGTTTTACCAGTGCGATGCTCCTTCTACATCCTACAGCAAAGTAAAAACATCTTTATGTATATTAGTTTTGCTTACCCAGAGAGATACTGATGTCCACAGCAGCCTGAGCAAATTCCACTGCTTCCCCATACAGCTTGAGACACAGCATCACTTCAGTCAGCTTATTATACAACCTCAGTCTGGTGTGACTGCTGTTGCTTTTCACTGCAATAGGCAGAGCACGGTCCTACATGGTAGAGAGCACAGAGATACACAGCACTTGCAGGTTTAAGTATTGCAACATGGTCTTTTCTCTTAGTTTTGACGACAATTCATAACACCACCATAGGACAAAAAAACAGGCCCAAGGTTGCAAACATAGATAAAAAAATCTTATCCTACATCAGAATCACTGAGATTAATGTCAAGGGTGCCCCGTAATGAAGTCATGGAATGATGACAGTATTTTTTTCTTTGAACTGTACCCGGTAGAAGGTAATAGCTTTGTCCCGGTCCTGGCAGCTGTTGAAGAAAATGTCTCCTGCAGCTTCCAGAAGTTTCAGGATGAAGATGGTGTCTCCTGTGCTCAGAGCAACATCCTGAGCTGCCTGAAAATGCCGAAAAAAAACAGGCTTTTATTTATTTATTTTAAAAAATGTAATACTGAGTTTAAGCTAGAAATCCAAAACTTAAGTCACTATTTGGTATGTGAGTGTGTGTGAATGGGTAAATAAGAAACATATTGTAAAGCACTTTGTAGAACCTAGGTAAGGTCAGACCATTTACTAAAAACATTTACTACAAACGTGATGTCTTCATTTATCTTAATAAAATTAATTATTGTAGTTTCTACCATGAACATATTAAAATGGCTCACACAGAAATGGTCCAACAGTGTAGCAATCATGCAATCATGCTTGTAATTTGTTGTTTAATTAATCAGTCAATAAACATGAGTAAGACTATGCCTATACCTCAATGGATGACTTTTAATGTACTTTAATGTAATGAACTGTAAAGGAAGTGTTGGGCTTTATTGATGGTAAAAAATACATAGTAAACCTGAACATAAATGTCCACCAGCTCAGTTTGACCCAACAGGTGGTAGATGTTTCCTGCTTGCAACCAGCCGTACGCTTCCTTCTCCCGACAGCCCAGGTCGATGAAAATACCCAGACTGCTTTTGGTGTAGTCAAGAGCTGCCCGGTAAGCCCTGAAAAATGTCAGAAACACCATCATTTGAAGGCAAAACTGAAACTGAATGTACCAGAAATTTTGCAACTAAATCCTCATTGCACAGGGAAACAGACTGAAGCGAAAGCAGGAAGTGGACAATGTGGATTATTTTAGTGTTCGCATTTATCTTATTAAAATAAAACCTGCAAACTTCAGAATTGTAAACAAGGTAACAAGATACGAAACAAAAATCAGGGGTTCTGTCCAAACAAAGCGTTTTGGAGCATTATGGGATTAGAATACCACCACATCTTGTTTTGATAAATACATAATGTTGCCTGAATATCAGTTCTTTTAACCACAGTGTTTGACTAACTTAAACAATTTAATTTACTAATTTATTCCTGTTCAGAGTTATTTATTAGTTATCTTTTTATGTTTAAAGAAAAATTACAAAGTATACCTATGCTGTTGAAGAAGTCTACATTGCAAGCCCCCTTGGAGGTTATATGTTATAATAAACTGAAAGTATCCCTCAAATCCTTTCAGTTTTGAAGTTACTTTTAAAGAAGCTGTTGAAGTTCTCTAATTCACTTTAAACTGTAAACTCAAATAAAACATTTAAACTCAATATTAACACATTTTGACTCACAGCTGAGCTGATATAATGTTCTATTTCTCTAATAACAACAGCTCAGTAATCAATGATATGGCAGAATAGAATGTACACAAACCTACTGAAAAAGAAGTGGCTTCACAGCTTTTGACATCCTGTTATAACTCAAGAAACCTAATTTTGGACCCTCTGTTTTTAAGTAACTACAGACCAATTTCCATACTTTTTTATTTAAGGTTTGGGAGAAACTAATTTCATCTAATCTGATATGTTTTGCTGTTCTGTGTAGGTCTACTTCCTTGAGAGTTCAGTTGTGTGGTGTCCCTCAAGGCTCTGTTGTTGATACCCTTCTGTTTTCTGTATACATACAGCCTCTGAGCCTGGTTGTTTAACAATCAGGATGTGCTTTACCAATTTGAGGCTCAGCCATGCCGTTAAAAGCAAAAGGATCATAGCAGCCTAGCAAATCTCACAACTTGCCTCTCTCATATTAAACCCTGGAAGTCCTAATTTTTTCTTAAATTTAATGAAAAGTCTGAGGTTATTCTGTTGAGTCCCCGAAATTCCATCAGCTCTGTTGTTGCTAATTTTGGCTACACATCCAATAATATTACACAGGCTACTAGGAACATTAGTAATGTCTAATACTAACCTCTGTATTGATGATAAAGTCCAAAATGTAATTTAACCTTGTTTCTTTTCGTTCAAGATTATTTATAAAATAAGGTAATTTCTATCAATTGCTGTTTCACAACAAGTTGTGCATGCTTATATCTATTCTCAGCTTGATTATTGCAATACACTTTTCCAGGATACCAGCTGGGGTTCCCACCACTCTCTCCAATTGGTACAAAATGCTGCTGCTTAACTCATCACTAAGTGAGAAAAGTATAATCACATCACCCCTGTGTGCACTGGCTCCCTGTTAGATTTAAAGTTGATTTTAAAATTGTACTGTACTCTTGTCACTTAGCCGTATTTTCATCTTTTCTTTTCATCTTCAGCTTTTTTTTTAAAGCTCTTTATACACTGTCTGTATTATTATAATTAATGCTTACACTTGTGTGCACATTGCTAAAAAAATGCAAAACAACATTGTATTTTCCAAAAAGGGAATCAAAACATTCATGTGCCACATTCACACCTCTCTGTGCCCAGAGTCAAGTAGAGCTTGCTGATGGCTTCCAACGCATCTCCCTCCTGTCTTATGTCTCCTGTGCGCCTCAGCAGCTGGACCTGGTGCTGGCTATAGATGATGCACTGGGCCTGGTCTGGATTCTCACACCCATACAGACTGCAAAGATGTTTGGTTGCAGTGAGCTGGCCTGGCAAAGAATAAGAGAGCAAAAATTGAAAGGCAATCTTAACACAGATTATAAAAAAAGAACAAATGTAAGTGACTGTTTGACTTGCACACTTACAGTCTGACAGGTTGGCACTGATTGCCAGCAAAAGAGCCCACTCAAAGCAACCTCTTCCAAAGTCCAGCTGCTGCTGCTTCACATAGTGCTGTCCCAGCTCCAGCAGCACAGTGATGAAGTTTGCCTCATAGCCTTCTTCATTAAGCTCAGAAAATAGCTGCACAGCCTCAGTCAGGTGCCTTTGTGCTAGTCCTTTAGCACCAGCTTTTAGACACAACAGCCCTTTATGAAGATGAAGATGAGTCACATCACAAATATCTGAACTGAAAAGCCACATGTTTTAAATGATATACTTTCTTACCTAAGTTAGCCTGAGCTACAGCCCAGTTTGGTATGTCCTCGTACTCTTGGCACACATCAATAGCAGCCTGATAACTCTCTGCTGCCCTCCGGAGGTCACCCATGCATCGAAGCGCCACGCCACGCATGTTGAGAATGACACCTTTGTGTTAAATTGAACACATTTACTTGAACAGTTAGGAAAAAACTGATGTTACCCATAGTTCCCAGAGTGCAAAAAAGACATTGCTTTAGGGTAATGTTCAAATCCAGTTTTCTTGTTCACAGAATGTTCTGGTTACCGCTAATATCAATCTTAGGACTTGCTTAGTTCACAATTTGGTTATATTACAAGCTAGCTAGTGTCAGCAAACAAGAGACACAAAATTGATATTTCAGTGCACAAAAGTTGACATGAATAATCATATAACACTCCACCAGATTGCACCTTCGAGTTATGTGACCTGGAATTTTAATACAATAAATAGGAGTTATACCATGTGCCTAATCATGCAGTTCATTAGATTATTCAGATGTAGTGTAAAACCCAACAGGAAAACCCAGGGTGTATTTAACACTCTGATAGCGGTATCTTTTTAATGCATTAAGTCACAGAAACCTACTAACCTTCCTGAGGGGTTGTGCAATGTTCTGGCATGGAGGCTAGAACTGAGTCCAGAATATCCAAAGCAATATTCGGCTGATTGTTGTCAATGTGAAGCCATGCCAACCAAATGAGGGAACTGTTTCTTTCTGGAACAGAGATGGCGACTTGCTGTGAAGGTGGGTTGTAGTTGATGAAAGTATGCATATGGCGGATAGCATGTTCCACCATTTTGTGCTTGTAAAAGAGTTGGCAGAGACAAACAGTGAGCTGATGGCTCAAAACATAGTAATGGTCACTTCCTACATCTGGGACCATGGTTAAAGAAAGGGCTTGGTGCAAATATGGAGCCACTTGAGGCAGAATGGCACTTTCTTGTTTGGTGTTGTCATTCATTCTGCTGACACTGTCCAAAACTAAAGCCATACTGCCAAGACAGTCAGACAGTATAGCAGAGGGCTGCAGAGAGCCTCTCTTGGCTGAGCTGATACTCAGGTGGGGAAGTTGGAGTCTACTGTAAAGCCTTCCCAGGGTCAGATATCCATCAGTGGGAGAGATGCTCCATGGTTTCTGAGCTTCATCACAAAGAACAAGCAGTCTTTCCAGATAAGGAACAACCCAAACCCCCTCAGCATGGGCCCAGTGGTATTTCGCCAACAGAAGACAAGCTCGAGCCTCTGCCATTTTGTTGTGAGAGAGAACAGCTTTCTTGAGGATGTATTTAAGAACAGAGTTGTCTTCTAAGCTTTTCAGGCAATCTGGGATTCCCAATAGCAATGCAGCAAGTCGTTCTGTCATAGCAAAGAAACTTTCTGTGTTTTTCTGTAAAAGATATATAACAGCCAGGTTGGAGTAGATGCTAGCCAACAATCTGAGATCGGTGAAGCGTTCTCGGGGAACGCTGAGAGACTCCTCAAAGTAAACCCGGGCCTGGCTCAACTTTAATCTCCCAGCACAGAGCTTACCCAACAGGAAACACAAACGAGTCTGCGGCCAAAAGAGTCGTTTCTTCCTAGCTGTTTCCCTGGCAACTCCCAAAAAGGCAATCAGCTCATCCTCGTCAGAATGACCTGCAAAGGTGGAGGAAGCAAGTAGTTCGGAACTCAGTCCATACAGAATGCCAAACTCTACTTTGTAGTCTTGTCCTTCCAAAAAAGAGAAGAGCGGAATTAAGTTCTCTGTGTTGTTGTTTCCTTCTACAACTGGATGAACAGTGAAACAAGGAGGGCTTGGGTTTTCTCCCTCTGTAGCTGGGACTGAGTCCTCTGGATCACTGCTTATGGTCACAATGGAATCTGGTGATGAGTCTTGTCCTTGATCTAGTATATTCTGAATGCTTCTCTTTAACTTGTTTTGCTTTTTGTCAGCCTTTGTTGAAGAGCTGACTGCAAAAGAATAATGAGAGAAAAAATTGATGCTGTCATACAGAGAAAATATCACATTAATAAAACAATGTACAAAAATAATATTTCACTGTCACTACTTACGTGATGTTTTTCTTTCTGAGTCTTGGTAAGTGATCATATCTGATCATACAAAAAGTACAAGAAAGTAATTGAGAAAACATCATAAAATCCTGGCAACTGGTAATTAAAGCTCATAGCTCAAACTCAGTTTAGGTCTAATTATATTACATGTTACAATACATTTCAAAGCTTGCTTAATAAATCTACGTTATCATTAACTGCATCTAAGGTCAGTAACTAAAACTCGAGAAAGTATATGTTTACACTGACAAAAGGGATTAAACAAAAGTGAGGGACTGCATTAGTAGGGTTATGTGGCAGTGACAGGAGGTAAGTTGAAATATGGTTCAAGAAGTCTTGAAATTAATGAATAGACTTTTAAAAATAGTGTAGAATTATGTCTTACACAGTAATCTACCAGGAATTTGTGCCTGCAAAAGCTTGGAAAGGCTGAAATAGTGTGGCTTTGTTAAAGTTCTGGATGTAGAGAGTGTGAAATTAGATCTTTAATTTAATCTGTAATACATAAATGAAAATAGAAAATCTCTGTATAGCTGTGTGACCTGTGAGTCCTGCTGCCCTTCTGTCTTACCCAGTTTGTAGTTATAACCAACATCACTTTGAGAGTTTTTCCTCAAAACTGCAATTGATTCCTCAATGACTTTGTCCTCTTGTCGACTGACAAACATCCATTTCTCTTCATCCAAAAAAATATCTGATGAGCTAGATTGGTGGCAGACAGTAAAACAAGGTACAGTGAATTTAAAAGAATTTAACGTGCATTTTGTTGAAATGACTAATACTGCACTTGTTGATACACTTACTCGTAAGTGTCACTGGATGGTTTTACCAAGCTTGTCTTGACCAGACCCACTTCACCTGTCGCCTCCTTCTGCCCTGTGAACCAGTCAAAGCAAGACACCAGGAGTCCCACAATGATGATGCGATCACCAGGTGCCACACTCAGCTCATCTGGACCCTCAGCATCATACTCCGCTGTGGCCAGACAGGTTCCTTTGGCTGAATAGAGCAGAAGATAAAACAAGACCAGATTATTCCACAACTTTCAGAAAGAGAGACCTCTAATGCTCTGTCTGTGGACCATTACATGTCCCTGGAAAAGATAATTTTTTTATTAATTCCACAGTGGGCAAATTTACAGTAGAGTTGTGAACTATATTTCCATATATGAAGCAAATACATATTTTCAGTCATAATAAATTGTAAATGGAAAGCACTTACACAGTAATTTTTATCTTAGCTTAGCCAAACACACACGCACGCATGCAAGCATGCACCCAGGCACACATGCATGCATACAGACCAATGGTGATGGAGTTATCTTGTAATCTTATTTTTCTTATTTTCTAAAGAACATTTAGTGCACAGTGAGGAAAAATTACAGCTGAAAAATTTTCAATTGTTAAGTTATAAAGCAAAATTAAAGTTGAAATGGCAGTACAATGTCATTCCCTTGGCTATCCTTAATTTCCATCTAAAAGACATCTCCAAATTCAATCAATACTAGTTCCCCAATTGTAAGGAAAAAGTGAGGGGGGGGGGGAGTGACAATAAGTCTCCTTGTCCCCAACACCAGGCAAAAGTGTGATTTGAAAAAATCTCCAGCCAGCAAACAGAGACATTTCTACGTCCACCTACTTAAAATTGAATAATAGAGGGTACATTACAGCCTCATGACAATGAATCTGGAAAACCAATGTTATTGAACCATTTCTGAAAACTCTTGTGTCTTGAGTCAACTGTATTAAATCAGATTCAGCAGAAATGAAGCACAACAATGCAGCATCTATTTCAGTCCTATTTGCACTAGGTTGCCTCTTAACTGAATGTGGCATGGTTGGTAACTTTTGAAAAATGACAGCAGATTGCATTGCAATAACAGGCACAACCTGATCCCAGCACCTTAGGGTAGAAATAGTGTTATAAGAGTAGTAAAAGAAGTTATAATGGCAATTAAGCTCCTGCAACATGAGAAGGAATTTCAGATGCAAAATTGCAGAAGAAAAGTGCCTACCAAAATGCAGAGGGAAGTCACAGGAAGGTTTTCCATCACCAACTAAAATGTTCTCTGCACAGGACTTGAGAAACCATCTGTTGATAGATTGGATCATGTGACCATAGAGAATACAACCCTAGATATGCTACTGTTTAAGAACAGTAGGATTGGTCACAATCACTTGTATGAGTCTATATCAGAGCCATAAAGGCATTTGTGATGATGTGACTCACTGATAAAAAGGGATGACTGGCTCCAGAGCAGGTTTGGGTGCAGTGCCCCGAGCTCCATCAGCCAGGCAGAGGACAGTCCACCCTGAGCCCAGGAAAGGAGGCTCAAACTGGGCTATGTCTCCCTGCTCCAGGTACAGGTCTCCTCCAGAGGTGGAGCTATCAAACATCTGATTGGCACTACAACTTGCAAACAACGAACCTAAGGAGAAAACAAAGCAGAGTGTGAATATCACATGCCTTTGTGACTCTCCTTATTAAAAATTGTTTTCATTTATTATAATATTTTTCATTCAGTGTTAAACAGCATGAAACAAACATAGCTAGTTATTTATAAGATAAATGTTTGGTAATAATTGGTGCAAAAAGTTTTACATTTTAACGAATAAACCACACAAGACCACCAATAATACACCAATAATACTCTTGATGCTATTGTTTTGTAGAACTAATGTCACATTATATATATATATATTAGAGATGCGCCGATCCGATACTGGGTATCGGTATCGGGCCGATACTGGACGAAATTACGGTATCGGATGATTTCCTTCACAGTGGTAACTGGCCGATCCGATACCGCCAC